GCGCCGGCTTTCTGGTGTAATGACGTAGGGTGATGTCATGAGCGCGGCTGTATATAGTGGGCCTGAAGCTGTCGTCGTCTGCAGCTTTCGAGTGCATTGCCCGCAATGTCGTACGCCTCTGTTGCTGCTCACAATGCGCCCCCGTCCTCTGAACAGGTGCACCACAGACTGACTCCTCCATGGGCCTCTCCTGACCTCAGTTCCCAGCCACACGCCGACCCCGCCCTCCTCACCACAGAACCTCCTTCCGCGAGCAACATCGCCGACGACGCTGCAAAGGTCAACATTGTCTCTCCAGACTTCCGTGCTCACCCTGCCACTGTCACCTCTGTTGGAAACATAGCGTCCGACTCCCCGCCAGAGCATCCCTCGCCTGGCGCCCCTCGCAGCCCAAAGGGCAATGCCAGGAAGTACCTGCGCGATGCAGAGCAGGAGGGCTCCTACCTCTGGAATCTCACAAAGCACTACCTCTTCCGCCCTAGTGTTGCTGGTGGCGTCCTCGGCCTGTGTCCGTCTTTGCCTTTGCCCCTCTCTATGTCACTCACATGTTCCTTCTCAGTGAATGTCGGCCTCATAAGTACCGCAGGTTACGCATACTATACTAAGCCCCACCTCCATCGTGATTCGCGCGCGCTCGCATCGACTGCAGCCGCCGCCCTCCTCCTTCTCTCTGCCGAGTCGTATGCTGCTGAAAAATACAGCCAAACTCCCGCAGGTCAGGCCGAGGAGCGCAAAGTCAAGAAAGAGGGCGTCGCTCTTTATCGTAATGCCAGAGAGCACTTGCTTCGTCCCGGTGTCCTTGGTGGTCTCGTTGGTCTTGGTATGTACTTACAGATCCCCTCGTCGCCCAGCAGGTGCTCACGTAATTACGCAGTCAACGCCAGTATCCTTGGTACCCTTGGATACTTCGCATACACCGAGTGGGACCGTCCCCGCTGGGACAGACGTATTGTCTCTGCAATATCTGCCGGTCTCCTCACGCTATGGTCTGGAGAGGGGTGCGTCGATTGCTAATGTAGCACCTCTCATCATTAACCTAATACTGTTCAGATATCTGGCAGAACGTTACCGTGAGACCCGTCGTTGACGACCTTGGATGACCGACGCCGAATTAGGCACTCGAGGACGTAGCGCATGATGCGGTCTGTACATCACCCCACCCCTCCTTTCATGTTGCATACCTGTATATTTGGTAAAGGCTTTTAGTGCCGTCAACTCGTGTTCATACATGAAATGGACTATATAGTGATCAAAAGTAGCACATCTCATAGGTTCAAGGGATGGTGCAGATGAGAGTCGCGAGTACCTGGGCCCAATTTTTGGTACACGGCTAGCGAATGCGAGACTTTGCGTTAGGCAAGCGCCCAGCATCGCACCGATATGGTATTCATGCGCGCCTGATCATGGGAAGACCCGAAACTCAAAATTTCTGGCCCATCAAGCAGAGTCCTCAAGCCACTTGAGACGATCAGGTCCCTCAGTTCCTTCTGCAGGCTTACTTTCTTTTTGGCTACCGCAAACCTCCTGCGTCCTAGGATTATTCGACATGTCTCGATTTTTCAGACAAGCTGGCGACAGCGATAGCGATACAGAGTCCTCTGAGGAGGAGCTCATGTCCAGCGACGAGGAGGGCGCTGCCGCTGCGCCCAAGGCCCCCGCCGCCAAACCTGCCATGTCGCGCTTCTTGCGCACTGGAGGGAGTGACTCGTCCGACTCCGATTCGGACAGCGAGGAGGAGAGCGATGACGAGAGCGAGATGAGCGGAGACGACGACGAAAAGGACGGTGCGAAGAAGCGCTCGCGCTTCCTGCGCACTGAGAGTGACGATGAAGACAGCGACGAGGACGTCAAGCGGGTTGTCAAGAGTGCGCGCGACAAACGCCTCGACGAGATGGAGGCATGCGGGAAGACGATGGACAATGCGCTCAAAATTAACGACTGGGTTGCGATCTCGAATGGTGCGCCTCTCACTGCACGCTGCGGGCTGCGGCCGCGAGTCTGACACGGTACAGAGTTCGACAAACTCGTCCGGATGGTGCAGCGGCAACAAAATGTCGCCGAGCCCGTCCCGCCATTCTACATTCGCACCCTCGTTAATCTCGAAGGATCACTGAACACTGCGGTGTCCAAGGAGAAGGAGGCGAAGAAAAAGATGAACGCGAGCAATGCGCGAGCGCTGAACGGAATGAAGCAGAAAGTCAAGAAAGTCACTAAGGAGTACGAGACCGATGTCAAGCGCTTCCAGACGGTTTGTCCTCCTCCACACAGCTATGTGCGCTAACTGACCGGTTTGATAATGTCAGGATCCGGAGGCATTTGAGAAGGAGTATCAAGCTGTTTTTACTCCCGAGGTCGTTGCCCCATCAAAGCTCAAGAAGGCTAAGAAAGCGGCTGGCGACAGCGACGATGAGGATGCCGACGATGCGTTCACGACGGTCGGAAAGGGCGGGAAGGCTATGCAATTCACCGCAGATGGTATTTTTAAAAACCTCCAGCTTGTGCAGGAAGCGCGTGGAAAGAAGGTATGCTGCCCAAGAGATGCGTTACCGATGATGTTTCTAACGGACTGCCCCAGAACACCGATAGGCAAGAACAAATTCGTATCCTTGAAAAGCTCCTTGAAGTCGCTGTTACTGCATATCAGCGCATTCGAGTATTACTTACACTGGTATCCGCCCGATTCGATTATAATTCGTCTGTATCGACGCATATGCCTATTGAACTCTGGACTTCAGCACAGCGTGAGGTAGATCAACTTATCGCGATCATTATACAGGAGCCTGGCTACTCTATCCAAGAGCTGACAGAGGACTACGACGAGCTCGAGGAGCGATCTCCAGATACGGAGAAGGATGGGGTTGTCAGGATCCGTGGCAGCATTATCAGCTTTGTGGATCGTCTTGATGACGAGTTCACAAAGAGTTTACAGAATATCGACCCTCACGGCACTGAGTATGTCGACCGATTAAAGGACGAGAAAGGGCTGTACTGCACCATCTGTCGCTCTCAGGCTCTGTATGAAAAAAACAAACAAGAAGAGCCTCTTGGTCGAGTGATCATGCGGCGATTGGAGCACATATATTCGAAGGTACGTCCTTTCCATTCTCGTCATTGAGCTCGAGCTAAATATGAAACATAGCCAGATGCTGTTGTCCATGCACTCGAGTCTGCTGTCGCTGTATCGGACATCAAACCTTCGATCGTCTTGTCTGCGGAAGGAGAAACATCGTCCCTCATCCACTCACTCTGCGTTCACTTGTATAAGTCTAACAACTCATTCCTGCGCACGCGAGCCATGCTCAGCCACATTTACCACTACGCCCTCCACAACGACTTCCACACCGCGCGCGATATGCTTCTCATGTCGCACCTCCAAGAATCTATCTACTCCGCCGACGTCGCCACACAAATACTATACAATCGTACTGTCGTGCAAATGGGTCTTAGCGCATTCCGTTGCGGCTTGATCAAAGAGTCACAGGCAACATTGCAGGATATTTTTGCCACTCAACGCGTGAAGGAGCTCCTCGCGCAGGGTGTTCACCAACAGCGCTACCAAGTGCTGACACCTGAGCAAGAGAAGGCAGAGCGTCAACGGCAACTACCCTTCCATATGCACATTAATACCGAGCTCCTGGAGGCCGCGTTCCTTGTCTCAAGCATGCTCGTCGAAATTCCTCTCCTTGCGAGCATCGAGACCGAGGAACAGAAACGGAAAACGATCTCGAAATCGTTCCGGCGCCTCTTAGACTTCGCGGACCGTCAAATATTCACTGGCCCACCGGAGAGCACGAGAGACCACATCATGCAGGCCAGCAAGGCGCTACAAAATGGTGAGTGGGAGAAGTGCCGGGATTTGGTCCAAAGTATCAAGATCTGGAGTCTGATGCCCGAGTGCAACTCCGTCAAAGAGATGTTGGCGAAGTAAGCTCTGAAAATGTGCTTTCACAGTTGCGTAACTGACATACCTCTAAGACGGATACAAGAGGAAGGTTTGCGGACGTACCTCTTCACGTATGCTCCTCACTATAGCACCTTGTCACTGTCATTGCTTTCAAAGAGCTTCGCGCTGCCGCTACGCACAGTTACCTCCATTGTCTCGAAGATGATTTGGAACGAAGAGCTGCCGGCATCATTAGATCAGGCAGCTGGAGTGGTGGTCTTCAACCGGATCGAGCTATCGCGCACGCAGCAGCTGGCACAGCTCTTGGCTGATAAGGTCAACAGCATGGTGGAGCAGAATGAGAAGGCGCTAGATGTCAAGCTGGGTCCTGCCGGGTCATTCCACGACAGAGCCGACGGTGGCAAAGGCGAGAAACGAGGCGAACAAACACAAGAGCGTAAGCGCGGAGGAGAGAGGAATAGAGGAATTCGTGGTAGGGACTATCTCCCTCACAAGTGTCTACAATTTTGCTAACGCAGTCTATTTCCAGGCGGTGCGCGCGGTGGGCGAGGCGCACGTTTCGCGCAGGGTCTCGGAAATCAGATGGCAGGGACGCAGAGAAGTCGATGAAACTGTTGTGCAACTATGATTTACATACGCTTTCCTATTATATGCTTTCATGTGTTTATTCTAGTGACAAGTGTATGCTGAGATGTTTTATGATCACCTTGATCACGCTCGAATGATACAGTACCGGATGCCAATTTACGCGTCCTTTTGCCCGATGATGAACTGCTTACTCACTATCCTCCTCTGAGCCCTCCTCATCTTCATTTTCTTCGCTGGATTCCGGTGCTGCGGCCCAATCGGATACGTCAAGTTTCTCATTTCGGGTATTTTCTGCACCCATTCTGAGTATATCTATGTGTTTGGAAAGGATGATAATAAGGCTTACCACCAGCACTAACTTCATAGCCGCATTGTGTTACACATCTTGTTAACTCAGCCTTCTCCCCGACCTTCGTGCCTTTTCCTAGGATACACCCGTCAAGCTTCGCTCTGAGGAACGGATAATGACATCAGCGCCCGCCACGAAATATAATCTGAGAACTGACCCATCAGCAATGACACAGTGGTCATGTACAACACATCCAGTGATTCTGACCATCTTCCCGATTACACAGTGTTTTCCGATGATGGATTTCTTGATGCTCGTGCGCTCTTCCACCTTAGTCGAATGTCCGATCATTGAATCAGATGAGATTTGAGCTTTGTGATCAATTAGTGAGCGGCTCTCTGGATCTGTCGGCAACGAATACACTGTCTGAGAGAGGAACTATGACATGTGCGATAAGCATCAGTACATTGAAGATCATTATCACCGCCAAAACTTACATGTCGATTGAGTTCCAAGTAACCGTGGAGATTGTTGGCTCGGGCAGCATACTCCGTGTTCGCTCGGAGCACAACTAAACCAACTCGGAGACTATCAAGGGCTTCGTCGTCATCTTCTCCATCTATGAGCAATGGATTTACGGATCGTGAATGTTCTTCATTTTGACCATCAGACGGGGGACTGCGTAGAAAATCCTCCTCCGTATCATGGTGTCCAGGTGACTTAGAATGAAGGGTAGAATGCCGTAGGGCAATGCCTTGCGTGAGGGTATTTGTGGAAGGGCTTAGAACTGAGAGGGCGGATTACTATGCAAGATAGAAAGACATTATTTAGATTCGTACCTCGGCCATATTTTTCTTGCTTGCTACGCTGATATTGAGGTTTACAAAGCCAGGGTACAAACTCCTCGCGCAACGAGTCGAAACGGCTTTTTTGCTGCAATGCATCCAGGACTTGTCGCCTGAATACATAGACGTGAGAGTCGTGCAGAGTAGCAGATAATCGTGCCCGAGGGTAGCTACAGAATATAATAACCTCAGTCGATTGAAGTGTGAGGGATGAGTATCGGGCTCACCGGGTAAGCAGGCTCATCCTCAGTTCCATTTCTTCCCCATTTCGATCTATATCATCCGGAGTCTCAATATGCAGCAGGGTCCCCGTACGCTCATCCCACACGATAGGAATAGGCGTAGGTAGGGCACCCCACTCGTCTGTGCTGCTGCTCTTGTCTGGGCGACGGCCCTCGAAAAAACACGCGGTAGCAATCGCGCCATCATAAGTAGATTCCGTTCTAAATTTGTTGAGAACTTGCGTGAGCGAGAATGAAGGCGCCGGAACAAAGTCGCAAGGAAGTAGGACGAAATCGCGCTGAATTCGATGAGCGTAATGTCTCAGGATTGTGCAAGTTCCAACGCTGAGACCTTGAGACTCGTCATATGTCTGAAGATCTATCCGCAATGTCGGAAACGCGGAGGAAGCGTCGGACTGGATGTAATTAGAGAGAGCCGACCGATGTGGGGCGGGACAGATGAGAAGAATGTCTGAGAACAGTATAAGGGGTAGTAAATGACGTCTCGGAGTAAGGCGTGCCTCTAATGCCAGACTGTTCTATCCAGATGAGAGGATATTCTAGCATGGGCTTGTTCGCGATGGGCAGCAGCGCCTTCGGGCTGGGCTCGTCGCCATAATTACCGGTCAAGGGCAGTAATCTACGACTAGAGTCAGCAATCTGAAGACTCGATGGCGAGACACTTGCTCATTTCCGAATCCTGCAAGGACGACTGCGAGAAACTCTGGAGGGATGAGCTTGGTGGATGATTCGTCAAAGTCCATGGCCAAGTTTGCAAAGGACGAGTCATCGTTGAGTACTGCAGTTATCACAGCCCGATCTAAAGATACTATGTGCCTATCTAAAAGCTAAATTATGCGCGTTAGAGCTTATGATCTCGTGCTAACCGAGCCTGGACAACTACAATACATGTACCAACTCAGGGCGACTCCCCCTTCGCATTCAGTTGTCCGACCTGGCGATTGCTGCTCGAGACCCTTTCCATGCATGCTGGCATACCTCCCCGTGCTGCTCGTTCTCACCGTGTTGGTTCTTGCTCGCCGCTCATCCAGCAGGGCTTCTATAGTACTTGCCTCCGCTTCCTGAGCTGCTTCCCTCATGCTTCAGCCCTCTGTTCATCAGCTGTATCGACGCCTAGAGACCGTCGGTAAAGGTGCATACGGCTCTGTCCACAAGGGTATTCATATTCCTACTGGTAATGTCGTTGCTCTGAAGATCATCAATCTCGACACGGAAGATGACGATGTAGGCGACATTCAGCGCGAGGTCGCTCTTCTGACCCAACTACGCGACGCGCCGAACGTCACTCAGTATTATGGATGCTATCTTGACGGCCCTCGAGTGTGGATTGTCATGGAATATGCCCAAGGTGGTAGTGTCCGGACCCTCATGAAGGCATGCAAAGATGGTGTCGTCGAGGAGAAGTACGTCTCTGTCATCACACGGGAGGTGCTCATGGGGTTGAGCTACCTCCACAAGTCTTCTATCATACACCGCGATCTCAAAGCTGCTAACATTCTTATCACGGCTGCCGGCAAAGTCATGATTTGCGATTTCGGCGTCTCTGCTCTTCTTGTAACGGCGTCCAGCAAGCGTAACACACTTGTTGGTACACCGCATTGGATGGCCCCGGAGGTCGCACACGCTTCTGCGTATGATACAAAGGCAGACATCTGGAGTTTGGGTATCATGATATACGAGATGATTAAAGGAAGCGCACCGAATTCACATGTTGTGGACCAGGTTAAACTCATCCAGATGATTCCGAGGATGAAACCCCCTCGTCTCATTGAAGGAGAGGGAAGTAAAGAATTGCGAGAATTCGTCTCGCATTGTCTGCGAGAAGCCCCAAGCGACGTACGGCAATATATTTTTCTCATTCCGTCTGCTTATTGTTGATCACCGGTTGTAGCGTTTGAGCGCCGATGATTTGACAAGAACTAAATGGATCAAATCGGTTTCCAAAGTCCCGGTGACAACCTTAAAGGACCTTATTCTACGGTATGATGCCTGGACCAAGGGTGGTGGTACAAGAGCTAGCATGGCCGATCCGCTTCCGTGGGAGGAAGAGGAAGAGAGGGAGTAGGTCTAAGCTGTTTGGCTTTTATTTCAGCAACTAACATTTTGCAAGCTCTCAACCTGCAGCAGACACTGAGGATGAGCATCCATGGGAATTTGACACTGTTCGAGTTCGCCCGTCTCTGGGAGTCGGTCATCTGGATGCCGAATCTAGCGGTCTTGAGAATCCGGATGATGACCCATCGTCATCTCATCCGACCGTCCGGCCAATCCTTCCTTCTAAAGTCCCTGCAACTTTGCGCGCCCTCTTCGAAGAAGAAGGCGCCGCTCCGGATCCCTTTAGAATTCCTGGTTTCGATGCCTCTCAGACCGATTTACAGTTGCCGTCATTTCCTGGACTGTACTCTGTGCCCAGTTCCCCGACCCGCGGTCGCAGTGCGTTTAAAGCCTCAGGTTCAGCAGACGCTGAGGGGGAGATTCCAGAGACAGCGAAGCAATCGGATTTTGTCTTTCCCCCTCGAACTTCTACACCTCGTTCCAAATCGAAATTATCTACACAGACATCAGAAAGCAGAGAGGATGACCTGGAGCGACTACCACCCCTAGGTCCAGGAATCCCCTCAGGAAGACCCCCTCAGCTAGGCAACAGTTCGCCTCGCAATGCTACACCTGCTACTACTAGATCGACGCCCAATTATCGAGAGGTGCGCACGACTCGTGGCCTGGCCGATATTGAGATACCCACGCGGCTACGAGACGGGTTGGACATGGCTGTCGATATGTCAACCCCGCCGATTATATTGTCTTCGTCTTCTCCTGAGCGACCTGTCGCTGTCTCTCGCTCAACTATTACTCGAAAGCGTTCTCAAAGTAGTGCGACTGGCGGGACATCGTCGCCTTCCTACTTCACTCGTCGAGACGTTACTCCTCCATCGTCCTCAGGCTTCCGATTCCCCGCTATATCCAATCCATTCGTAGATGAAAAGCTAGGGACTCCACCCCCCTTACCGACGCCAGATCTGCTATTCAGGCGCAATCGCATCTCACCTACGCGCGCAAGCGTCTCTTCGATCTCTTCGACATCATCCGGAACACACCAAATGACTCAATCGCTCGATGCATCTCCTTTGCCCCGACGAATGCCTTCCCCTGCAGCACTACCCTCTCCAATTGGTCGTGCTCTGTCTGCGGCTGCGGCAGAGTCAGGTGCGCAAGATAGCAGTACGTCTATTTCAGTTGGTAACAATCTCGTACGAAAGCCGAGTCTGAACCGTTTGGCATCCGTCGCTGTAATGGAAAATGTACACAAGGCTCCCGTACCTCCCACAAAGCCATGGATGAGAAACCGCGAAGGACGAGGCGGCAGTGAAGGTTCATCTTTCCGTGCGCCTCTGCCCGTATTGAAGAATGGTTTGAAGGTAATCATCTGATACTCATGATGACGCGGATACCACTGAACTTGCATGATAGATGCCCCCACAAGTTCTAGATCATAGAACTGGGCCATCGGAGCTGCCTCCATCACCATCAGTGTCACTTCCTCCCCGGATATTGCCTTCCCCGATTCCTTCAGGTTTTCTCCCTTCAGATACAGGCTCAAATGGTGCTCGTAATATGCCTCATACAAACTCTGCAGCATCATCGTCCACAACATCGCTCAGTTCGCTATCCTCACAAATGAATAACTCTTTTAGCGATGGGCGTGTGGGCACCAGTGACTCTTCCGCCTTTTATTCTCAGTCACACTCACGATCAATTTCGCATGGGCGGTCTCAATCTTTTCCTACCCCTCCATCTGAAATGACTGGTCCCTCGATTAGGCCTCTTGACTTCAGTGCCATCATGGAATCGCATGAAGCTACTCATGTGGAGCTTGCACGGACAGTAGACGAACTCTCACAGTGGCTCACTGTTGTTGACATTGGACTTAGGCATATGCTGGATAGAGCCACCCAAGAGACAATCGAAGAAGAGCAGGAACAGGATGTTCCAACTGATACCGATGATGAGACGTCTCCCACTTCACGACAGGTTGAGCTTCCCACAATAGCGCCGGTCGCTACTTGATAGTTTTTCCTAGATTCTAGTACACAGGAGTTCGGACATCCATGCAATCTCTGTATCCTAGCAATATTCTATAGCAATATTTTACTCCAAATCAACACTTCATTTAATTCCTGCCATGCGAATTCACTCTATATGAAGCCGTGCTCAGTGAGATATTCAGTGATGATGCGGACGGCATCCGTGACGTCGCATTGATCAGTTCTAATATGAACCTCTGGCTTCTCTGGGGGCTCATAAGGCGCTGAAATGCCTGTGAAGTCTGAAATTGACAAGGTCAGTTTATAACATAATGGGAATGACGCGCAATATAAAAGTACCTTTGATCTCTCCCGCTCGAGCTTTCTTGTATAGCCCTTTAGGATCACGCCGTTCCACGACCTCGAGGGGAGCATCGACAAAAACTTCGACGAAACTAAGCCCCGCTTTCTCATGCAAGTCACGCGCCAACGCCCGATCCGAGCGGTAAGGCGAAATGAATGCGGTTACGACAATGCAGCATGCGTCTGCGAAAAGCTTCGACACCTGCAATTGAAAGCGGGAATGTCATGGGCCCCATGCACATAGGTGGTGATGCAGCTGACCTCCCCAATTCGGCGAATATTCTCGTTCCTGGACTTCTCGTCGAAACCAAGATCCTTGTTGAGGCCGAAGCGGACATTGTCGCCATCCAATCGATAGCAAAATTTTTGCAAGTGCAAAAGATGCTGCTCCAGTGCACAGGCGATCGTGGACTAGTACATATGATGCACTCAATAAATCGTCACCGAACGTAGATAGAAGGCATGATTCCGCACTTTACCACTGGCACTGAGTCCAGTCAGCCAAATGGTGACGCCTTTCTGCTTGAGCGATGCGGCACGCTGAGACCCAGTCACGGAGCCTGGATTGAAGGTGAACACATCAGCAATGGAAATTCATTTGATGTAGTGTACATACCTTCGTGGAACACAATGTTAGTGGCCATTGGACCGCGTTCAAACAAGATTGAAGAATATCAGCGAGACTGATCTAACGGAAGGTGTGCCTGCTATCATCGCGGGACAACATGCGCTTTTATTCCGGAGTTACAAAAGATCGGCTTGGTTTGAGGACATGGTTGCGCCATGATGAGTAGACTCGATTAAGTGCTCTCGTATACGCACACGTGATGGCTCCGGGATTACGCGCAAAAGTAAATGCAGACTTAGTGGCAATGGTTCTAGACCGGTATAATGCACTCCCAACCCACAGCTACCGTAATAAAGACTTAGGCAAGACAAGGTAAGCGCCGCAATACCGTGAATAAGTACTGTAAGTGCAAGTGATCATAAGGTATATGCGACAACAAAGCGAAAGCAATGGACCGAAAGCAGACTCAGCCAAACTGTGATAACTCGCCCTTCACTGATTTAATCGACCACATACCCAAAGTACGACTCTTCTGATTGCTTCCGTCACCTCATCCGTGCTCAATGGCTGGTCCACAGGCGGACAGTGCATAAAAAGTACGGGCGTGCCCTTTGTTGGCGAGCCTCGGTCCTTGAACTTTTCTTGTCGGTTACTTATCCGCTTGGCTTCAGCCAGCGAGCAATAGAAAATGAAATCGCAGATGTAATGGCCAGCATCCATCGACGAATAAATGTGCTGAGGATGGGTTGAACGGTGAAGCGCAGGGAAGCAGCCACAGCAGGCAGAAACGGACATACCTCAATGCCCGTTTCCTTCATATGGTTAATCAGCTTCGCAACGTCTATCTCGGTCTGCATCTCTTCGGCAAAGCTCTCATATCCCTTCCCAAAACCGCGATTGGGTGGAATCTCCACGCCGTCATTTCCCCCTTCACCACCAGTCGGACCGTGCCCCGAAGGTGGCACCAAACTCAAAAATTGTTCCATTATCTCTACCTCAGCTTCAGGATCTCGAGGATGCTCTTTTGGTAGATGCACGACAGGTGCATATTGGCCATCCGCATCCTTCATTCGGAAGCCATTCTTATGTGCCAGTTTCTCCATACGCAACGGCCCGCGCCCTGCGACACCGACGTGGAACATGAAGTCGTATCCGTTGACCGGTGGTGGGGGAAGGACCATAGCAGGATCTTTCGGTTCGGGGAGAACGGGAGGACGTGCATGGAGACCGGGAGTGACGGCCAGAACAGACTGATACGAGACTGGGATTTCTATGGCAGTAATGTGTATAGGCTGCGGGCGAGGCGCCATTTCTTCCATCTCGTCGGTCACGATCGCATGGTCATCAATCACAATAGGATCAGGATTTGTATAGAGGACAGTGTTGTGCAAGGGTTTGACCGCAAGCCACGATGGATTTTCGTTGAATTTATGGAAGGGCTGCGTCGATGTAGGATCGCGTTTGTGTGAGCGCCTGCAGGTACGATGAGAAGCGAAGGACTTACGCCGAATCCTGTGATGAGTACGCGGATTGCTTTAGGGTCGACAGTGTCCGCGTCCTGGGGAGAGAAAGAATTCATTCTGGCCACGATGCGACGGTGAGCACTGAGCAGAGAGTCGCCGCGAAGGTGGAAACAGCAGGGCCTCGGAGGAAGGGCGACTGGGATGATCTGTCACGACGTTACACAACGTCACGTATAACGGTCTTTGAATATGTACTGAGATGCCCTCTCGGGTCTCAATTACTTACTTATGTACATACTCTGCCGGCCACGCTTCGGATTTTCAAAGCGCAAGGCTGAACGTACAATTCGGCAAGCACTATCGATGTTCGCTTTGTCGTGCGATCACTTCAGAGACATATTCTGATTGCGGCTCATGTAATATTATCTCCTCAACCATTTTCCCCAAGACGCGCGATATCAGGTCGCCACATGCAGGAGGTCAAGCTCAAGTATTACTGCTCCGTCGAATAATTCTGACAATGCCTGCAAGGCTGCGTTGCCAATAGCCAGTCTCCTGAGTGATTCGGCCCCGTCGGGTGTCATAAGGCAGCCAAAGGGTGCACGGGAACTGACTTTTGCCAGATATGTTCGATTTTCGTGTACAAATTCTCATTAGCCTCCAAGAAGCGGTGCAAGGAACAGGATAGGCAGTTTATCCTGCCTTAAGGCGGCCTCACAGGAACCAAGCGATAACGCCACTGCCGCGGCCTTATCTTTTTCTGTGTGCCGCCCAGCGTCCTGTACTTAAATCTGAGCCTCTCGTGGACGATTCTGCACTCATTCCTTCCTTCAGAGATGACGGTGCCCTCACGAAGTACTGACACAGTCGATCCGACCGCTTTGCGCGTTCTGATCACCGGCTATGGCGTACGTCCTCCATCTTGTAACTTACCTCAGGATTGATTGTAATTACCTTATTTCTCACACAGCCCTTCGCTGGGTTCCCCATCAATCCGTCCTGGCTTGCCGTAAAGCCTCTTCACAACACTATAACACAAACCCTGGGTGATACCCCTCGCGACATCCACATTACGTCTCTCGAGATTGCCACATCTTATGAGACTGTCCTCACCGCTACTCCCAGTTTCCATGCGCGTCCTCCTGTCGTCTCGCAGCCGAAGGACACTGCCTTCGCCGTCCTCCCGCCCCCCAGCGATGGCTATGATCTCGTCATCCACGTCGGTGTTGCTGGTCGAAGTGGCCATATCCGCATGGAGCAACTTGGTCGCAAGTATGGGTACGACAAAGAAGACGCCTTCGGCCAATATGCTCCTGTTGTCGTAACTGAGGGTGATAAGCCCGTACGCGGTTTCGGAACGGACTATAAAGAATTCCCTGAAGAACTTTACACTCATGTAAATTGCACAAAGCTCGTCGACCATCTTCAGGGGACTGGTTTCAAAGTAAGTGCGCCATGATCGGCCCATCGCATTTCATTTTCGGTCGTTTGACCAATTGCAGTACGTCGTGCCATCATTGAATGCTGGCCTTTATCTCTGCGAGTTCATCAATTATTGTTCACTTGCCGAGTCAAAGCGCACCGCCGCACGCGGAGAGAAGTATTCGAAGGTGCTGTTCATACATGTTCCACCCGTGGGCGCACCATACACGACAGAAGAAGTAACGGAGATTTTGCGCAGCACTATCTCATGGATTTGTAGCCAGTAAACCTCAGATTCTCATGATGTAATTATACTTGCAAACCGAATTTGATGTAAAGGCTTTCGTGCGGAATTTAAGTTAGCGTACGCCTCCGATTTTTACGTCGTCATGGTATGAAGCATCTCTAGCAGACGAGCTATTGTTGAATAGTTTAATATGTTGCTTGCGTTGGTGGTAAAGATGAGAGCCGTCATGTGTATCAATTTCTGTCTGTCTCGATCGCGTCGCGATCACACCTTGCACACGTGATCGACGCGTCGAAGACTTGCCGAGTGACTGAGCCTCTACATTCCTTCTACAATATATCACACAATCTCCTTATTTCTCTAGCATGAGCCAAAACTTAGAAATTGGTGAGTTTCTCTCCCACAATTCCATTAACTAGAGATAATACGCATTGCGACGGCAGTGACTTGGTAATACACGCGATCTTTATCTATCATTAGCGAATTGACCATTTTGCAGTCCAGTCTGTTCTCGCAAGATCCCCGAAAAACATATCAACAGTCACCTTGACAATGATTGCAGAGAACCCGATATGTCACCTACTGCGTCGAAGATAAGGCCTAACTCGTCAATGCGCACGATGCAGTCCTCGATCACCTCACTCTTCACGCCATCTGGCAAGTCTACTCGGTTGGACCCCTATATCTCTACGCAATCCCCCGTGACCCCTTCAGCAAGAGTGTCCAATACAAGGAAAAGAAGTGACCTGAGTGACTCATGCTTTGCGTTCGAAGGCCCCTCGAAACGGAGCAAGCCAGCTCTATCTGAACGCCTCCAATCAGCCGCACCTCTTGCGGACAGGCTCCGTCCAACCACTTTGAGACAATTTGTCGGACAACCACATCTTACCGGCCCTGGATCTCTGCTCATGCATCTATTAGATACTAGAGCTACGGGTAGCCTCATATTTTGGGGACCACCTGGGTATGTTCAAGTTGTCTGGGTCGTGGCCTCTACCCACTCTGAATTTTGGTCTATTATATAAATCTAGATGTGGGAAGACTACACTTGCGAGGTTGATGGCAAAACGCACCGGTGCCATCTTCAAAGAGTTGAGTGCCACTGATGCTGGCATCTCCGACGTTCGGGCCGTCGTCGAGGAGGCCAAGAGTGTACTTGCGCTCACCGGGAAGTGAGTCGTTATCATCATTTCTACGTCGAAGTTAAACCGCGCGCGATGTAGGCGGACGATATTGTTTCTCGACGAGGTGCATCGGTTCAATAAAGCGCAACAGGTTGGTCCAATGGGTTACATCCGTGTTTGCAGGTATTAATGCCAACAGGATATATTTCTTCCGTTTCTGGAACAAGGCCATCTGCAGGTGTCTTGCTTTTCTTCTTCCGTTCGCTGGCTTCGGTTCACCTGGCCACAAGTTGATAGGCGCAACTACAGAAAATCCATCATTCAAACTGACTGGAGCTTTGGTTAGTCGATGTCGGCAAGTCTATATATTCATGTCATGGAAGTTTTCTGATTTAATACAACTCAGCAGAGTCTTCGTCTTGGAGCGACTGACAGACGACGACATCACTCACATAATTACGCAAGCAGTTGAACGCGTTTCCCCACAAGGGCCGACTTTCACAGCTGAAAATTCTGAGGATGATACTCACGACATACCCAGCTCGCAGCCCGAGACGGAGGATGTGGTCCCTCATCCATCTTCTTTTTCATCAACGTCCACAGTGACCCCATCGTTCCCTACCTACCCCCAACTCACCCCTAAAATTGTTTCGTCTATTGCTTCTCTCTCCACTGGCGACGCGCGCACTGCATTGTCACTTCTCGAGCTCGTGCTCTTGTCTCCCATTGACGCCGACCCAGACAGGCTTCTCTCATCTCTTCGGCAATCGGTGTCTACGTCATATGATCGTACAGGGGACAGCCACTATGATATGATCTCTGCATTGCACAAAAGCGTCCGTGGTAGCCAGGGCAGTGCGGCACTGTATTGGCTCGCACGCATGCTATCCGCTGGCGAAGATCCTATGTATATTGCGCGCCGGATGGTGGTATGCGCAAGTGAGGATATTGGCCTTGCAGATAATCATGCCCTCCCGTTGGTGCGTGATGTAGTGATGGTTCTTTCGACGCTTCTGTTAATTCACGCTCGCAGGCAATGGCAACCCTGCAGGCATGTCAAATAATTGGCATGCCGGAGTGCCGCATCAACCTCGCCCACCTTGTCTCATACCTTGCAGAAGCTCCGAAGTCAACCCGTGCTTATGAGGGTTACAAACGAGCTGAGGAAGCTGCGAAGTTGGATGCAACAATACCAGTCCCACTTCCCGTCCGGAATGCACCCACGAAGCTTTTGAAAGAGCTAGGCTATGCACGAGGCTACTGTTACAACCCCGACTATGCGTATGTATCTAATCATGTTGGAATCGTTCGGATGCTGATCGTACCTTTCTTCTTCCTTGACCAGGCATCCCGTCACAAATGAGTATCTTCCAATCCAATTCAGGGACGCTGCTTTCTTGAAGCCAGCTGGTGATATCTCAGACAAGGTTTGGGATGAGGATGCCCTCCGACTATGGGAGCTGGAGGAGAATGAAGGTAGGCCCTGGAAGGGTAGGTTGATTGAGAGGGGCACATCACAATGATAGATTCCAATCTATTGCTATGATGCATTGGGTTCAAAACTTCACCCTCTGCCTGATTATGTTATCATGTTGCCACTTCACACCACATCTTGCATACAATCACTACATTATGTTACATAATCTGCAATTCTCAATGATAATGAAGGATTGCCTTTAGAACATTACTTCCACATGTTGCCTCTACATTGTGCAGCCCCACATTGGCAAGGAACATAAACAGCATCATTATAAATACGAGACTGATTATACACTAAATCAGGATCCAACACATAAGGTAGGACAAAGAAGACACATACCTCTTCATCCTGGTCATCTACTTCATCATCTCCTGTTCCAAAATATGAAAAACATAGTTCCTCTCCAGCTGCAATATCTCGGAGGGAAAAAATGGTGAGCAAAGGCTTGTCAAGATTTGCTTCATTGATGTAGCATGGTACAATGTCGCAGTTTGGATCACAGCTATGGTTCTGACTCAGGTGGTCAGCCAGCATAGTGTCTCAGGCTCATCTGCATCACATACCAAGTATCTTGTGAACTTTCATGTAAATGAGTTTGTGTCAATATATGTTAATGCTACCAATTGCAGACTCACATTTCCAGCATGGTAGGCATCAATGCTGAACTTGTTCTCCCAGTCAGTATCACCCTGTCTGAGATGCCAAAAGTCAAGGTCAAAGAGGTATGTCCTTCCAAACTTGTTGTAGATACTGTAGAGAGAGAGAAAGGGAGGGAGAGTTGAATGAAAGGTCAAAAATAGTACCACCACTCAGCCTGGTCAACTAACCTGCCCCTCTCTTCAGCTTCAGCCTCTGTTAGATACTCGCCTGCATATATACCGATGAACGAGTCCTTGGGGATTTTCTTATCTCCAGCAAAGATACCTGAAAATGTCGTGAGACTCATTACAACTTGGATGAAATATCTTGCTTAGACATACCCCATCCTTTGTCTCTTGTCTTCCGGATCTCTATCGCGATTTTTCTGCCATGCTGCACAACCTGCAACAAGGTTAGTATTAACAAACGTGTTTCAAGTGCCGCGAACTTACCCGGTTGATGCACGAGTCGCCACAGCCACAGAATTTGTTGCATTCGAGAATTGGATATTCATGACTGCGCAACTTTCGCCTTCCGTTGTACATAAATCCACCTTGATCCCAGTATTCACGTTGGCGAAGGATACACGAACATGCTGTTGACGTCGGATCGCAAGTCCCCACACATTGACATCCTTGTAAATTCTTCGTATCTGGTTCAGGTACACCTTCACCGTGCCACATCTTGTTTGAATAGTGAAATTCAAAAGGCGGGGTAAGCTCGTCATCGACGTCGTTGATGATGAGAATTTCGGGTGCAGTAGGTTCGTCGTCAGCGGTATTCTCCGCGATGGTTGCTTCAAAAATCGACACCTGCAAGTTTCCAGCACGCCTGGCTGCCGGAGTCAGGGCATTGATTCTATCTTGCAAGTCGTGGGGAATGTCTTGAGCCATGGGGTACCGGTCTTTGATTTCTCTTGCCATAGCTATGTGGCTTTCCCAGGTGACTAGCTCGAAGCCGGCCTTAGCAGCAACCTCACCCATCCAACTAGCGTTTCCGGATCGGTCTTGGTTGACAACAATGCGTGGCTCCGGTAAAATGGGGTCCACCTCATCCACTAAGCTGGCAGGACCAATGGAGGAACTTGTTGAGCTCGTGGAACGTCGAGATCGTTGAGGACATGCGGACGCAGTTGAATCTCGTGGAGTGCGCGGCCGCAGTTGTCGCCCGATTTTGATTTCGGGCACCATGTAAGTCTGTCCATCAGACAACTGCACAAGCTCACATTAGCGAAGCATTAACATAGATCACAAGCGTACATGCTTACCTCGGCATCTGTCTTAAGAATTGACATAATCTCTTGCTCTTCATCCTCTTCTTGTGATGGACATGTGGACGCATCTGGAGAGAGCTGGGTATCAATGGGTAACTCTACGCGAGCTCGCTCAGTGGTGAGGGGGGACTGCCGTTGGAGTTGACGAATCGGAGAAGATACTCTTGGACCTTTTGGGATTTCCTGATCCTTCTGAGTGTTGAGGCACACCACCGACTTCGTGGTCGGCGGCAGAAGCTCTTCAGCGAACGTAATACCAGCCAATGATGATCGATTTTCAGCGACCAGAGTCGACAAAATATTCTTTTCCGCAATGTCTTCGCGGAAGACATCCATGCTAATACTCTGTCGACCAGACTTGAGATTGCGCATATTGTTAAGATCAATGGTTGTCTTGTATGTCCGCGAATGAACTGGCGTCGCGTCTAGAACAGGTAGTCTCCGTGCCTTCTTACTTGTAGGCATACGTGTAAAGTCAACATAAGGAAGCGGCGACTTCTCGGCGGATTTTTGCAGATTACTTGCAGATTCTGACAATTATGTCAGTACCGCATATATATGTACGTCATTGGCCAGCCTACCAGTAATTGCATGAGCTTTCACTGGGGTCTGCATTGGGCCAACCACTTCTCGTGTGCTAAGATGCGCCGTTATGAGACTTGGCGATGCATGAGGCACAGAGGCAATACTAGGACCCGGAACTGGCCTGTCTACATCTCTTTCCAACGTAAGATCGATAAGTTCATGAACGCCGGTAGGTGTTCTATTTCTCTTGGCGTCGTTATACACCGAGTTCAAGAGATCGGCGAGACCACCATCGGTCGTCCGAGTCTGTGATCGAAAAACACTGACTATTGAGCCGGTAGTATCGGATCCGCGTTCGACCTAGAGAAATAGATGAAATAAGTCCTGATATGGAGAAGAAGATGCCATTCACCTGCAGCTCTTGTTTAACCTGGATGGGCGACCTAGAAATTCCACCCAACATCTCTATGGACTCGGCGTTTACGAAGGTATCATCTTTCTGTTCACCGGTGATATCCTGCTGAGGTGGAGGTGATGTCGATGCTACTGCAGCCTCCCTATCAACGATGTTGCCCGCAAGGTATGTTGGCGCCTCTTCAGAAGAATGGTCAATATCCATAGGCACAGTCGATGAAGGACGAGGGAAATCGATGACAGCTTCAATAGGATCATTTGCCTCATCGTCTTCACTTTTGGCCGAGGCTTTAAAAAACGCGACAGGTGACACCGCAGAACCGTTTCTATTAGAATAGTTTTGTGATGTAAGGGGAGGGAAGGTGTGGTTAAATTGGACTTTTCCAACAGCATCACCAGGAGATGAAGACGATGCGATGGTCGAATCTAACAGGCTTGAAGAAAGAACGTTACTCTTCGAGGGAACACTTTGGAGGGGTATTTTATAAAGGCCTTCAAAGAATCCAGTAGGACCACTGTAGAGAGTAGCACGCCGTCGAGGTGTCCTCGTGAAACGTGAAGTGGGCGAATGGTTTATAGGCACAGTCGCGCCACATAGGGAACTGCTCTCGTCGATGAGGTCCCGATCTGGAGTATGATCATGCGTATCCACATAACGGTCTCCCATCGCACAATCATCCACTATCTGGTCACTATTCTTGGACAGCTCAGTCGCTTGCGACAAGGGAGACACAAGGGTATCAATGTGATTTGTAATCCGATCTCCGTCTCCAGGATGTCTGGAAACGACAGGATCTGGAATAAGCGAATCTGGGCTCTTTATCTTCAATTGAGAGCCGATTGATGAAATCAATTCCACCATTTCGGCCTTCGCCTGTGCTGTGTCACCGCTGAGCTCTGTTGCACCATGGGTGTCAGTGTATCACGGTGAAGTGCGGTACTGTCATAACTTACCAGGCATCTCAGGTGTGCAGCGCTGACGCTCATGTTCAATATCACAATCTGCTACGCGGCTAGACTCAGGAATAGAATACTCCTTGTCTATATCAAGCTCCTGCATGTGATCTTTCAGGGTCGGTGGTGGGGAAGGAACGGGGGGGAGCCGGGGAAGGCTGGTTGATATATGCTGTACCGGGCTCCTAGCCCGGCGAGTCGAGTCCGTAGTAACTTGAATATCATCAGGAACACTTTCAAACTCATCTTGCAGGGTATGATCCGGTCGCGACTCACGTCCCCCGAGAACAATAGAACCGGATTGAACAAGTTGTGAAGCCGGAAGTGGTAGAAACATGTCCGCAGATGAAGGAATAACGTTCTCATCGACGCCGTCATCGTCATCAATAAGTATTGAGCCATCCGCGTCATATCTCAGCACAAGCGCAGGCGGCTTTGCCATGCGTTTTGGAGGCGATTCTTCGTCACTATCCGAAATAGTGATCACGTCAACGGGGTTTCTGCGTTTACCACTTCGACTACCCTTCGCTTAGAAAATTGAAACCATCAGTACCAAAGCTTCAACTTATTGCATAGAACACACAGGATTCGCCACTCGACAACAGCTTAATAGAGTGATTTAAGATTTGTGACTTCCGCCGCGCCGTGCCTGCGAAAGGAACATTGATGCGAAGCCCAAACTGAAGAAAAATATTCAACCCAAATACCTTGCGGCTTCGATGTATTATTGAAGACTGGACCAACCGCCTTTGAAAGCTTGATTTTTTTCCTAACCCTCTCTGGAGAAACACCTGAAAGACCTGTGATCAGTCAGAAATTACTGGTAGCTCAATAGTAGAATACATGCCCTGCACAGGTACAGTGTTTGGATCCCGCTGACCAGCCTTTCCGCCTTCAGCCGCCTTCCCCAATTTCGCGAGACGGGACGGCTGAGATCCATGCTCTTCTTCCCAGATCCTCAGCAAAGACGAGATGTCGTTTGGCATATCTTCAGAGGAGGAACTAGTCGATGGAAGAAATCGCTTCTTATTCTGAAGATGCTCAAGTGGTTTCAGCATCTGCTCTGAGGTGGACGCGATAGGGGAAGATGTCGAATGACCAACAACCGGTCTCGATGGTTGGCTGGAGGGTATACCCACCCTGGACGAGGCAATGGAGGAAACTTGTTCAGCACTACTGGTTGTCGTCATCGTGGTCCGTTGGGGACGGCCGCGGGAAGCGGTCAGGAAGGGATGTGTTGACGGAACTGCAAGGATATCTACATTCGCATTATCCAGACCAGCTGCACGACGGGCGTTTCGTGCGGTAGGATGGTCAGTAGAGCTTTGAGTATTAGCGATACCTATGGACGGGATCCCAGGAACGGAGGATGCCGTCTGATTAGCCTGAGACAACGTACGAAGCTGTGGACGTGGAAACACTCCGAGATCTCGAGAGGGGCTGGGCTGTGTGTGTTGGACAGACTTCAAGGACGTCGAAGAAGATGTGGTAGGCCTGTATACTCTCTTCCAAGTCGGAAGTCGCTTTTTTGCAACCTGTTTCCGTGGAATATGATTGTCAGACGTCAAAGACGGGGCTACCAGATCAGGGGTATCTACACCGTTGTTGATAGACCGGGTCACTCCCTGGTTCTTATTCGGGAGATATATGAATACGAACCGTCTTGTCCCTCCTCGTTCCTATTCAACACACTCGTAGCCTTTGCCCTTTTCGTCAATGCAGCTCTGCTATTATAATTATCGTTGCTTGGAGATCCAGAGTGCCTGCGCTTCCGGGTCGTCAGCGGCGGTGTGGGTTCAATCTCATCTCGGACATCTTCAGAGCTCATGGCAAGCTCATCTTCCGAAGTACTAGTAGAAGGTGGAGGATTTGCGTCTATGGGAGCAGGGTGCAGGATTGTACGTCAAGACGAAAGCCTGGACAGTGGCATTTGCGAAAGCCGAGCGCGTACCGGGCAAGATAGTCCAACTTGGACCTAAAGAATCATAGTCTCTCGTACCGCTCGCCATCACAGCATTCTGACCGAGCAAATGGAAGCTCAGACTAATATCTCTTATAAAATATATTGACGTACCTACACATTTGCCTGCACGTAACGCAAAGTCACATAGTAGATACTGTACGGCACGCTGAGAGCGGCATCCGCGAATTTGCGATCATGTGATCTTACGCACTGCATCAAGCTTGAGCGCTCCCAAGAGTCCTTGGCAAGGAACCCAAATCCCCAGCCGAAGCTTTGAAAACTACTGCCCATTTCTCGGATGGCTGCTCAACAGGATTTACAACCAACCCCGTCGATGTACACATGCTTATCATGTTCCATTGCATTTCACGCCGCCGAAGAACAGCGTAGGTGTTGCGCGACGATCAGCCTCTGCTAATCTCTGAAGGCTGTCTCTTTACTCTAGGGAATCATTATCGATCCGACCATCACAGATATAATATGAAGCGTCGAGTTGCAGGATTAAGCCCCGTTAGTGCGATAGCATTCGACCAAAAAGTAATCGAAAGAAGGGCAGAGGCTGCCCCTACGAGGTCAGCGGCGACCCACACACAGCGTAAGAACTTGACCCAGAATGCTTTGGTGTCATCGTTTCCGAATCGTCCGAGCTCACCTCAGTGCGCCGAACAACCAGTACCTCTTGAGTCGCAGGCCTCACAAGAACATTTACGCCCAAGCGTTGACGACCCGACCGGTACCAACAGCCCTCAATACTCACCCCAGCAGTGCATCTTCTGTTCCAAACTTTTCCCCTCCACGGAAATCAATCTCACACACATGTCAGCCGTCCACTCCTTTTTTGTCCCCGACGTTGAATATCTTGTGGACTTAAACGGTCTTATTCAATACCTTGGCGACAAAGTTCTGATGGGCCTTTTGTGCATCTACTGCAATGGCAGGGGGAGGGGCTTCTATACGCCGGAGGCCGTACGCAAACACATGCTTGCTAAAGGGCATTGCAAAATTGCGTATGATTCGGAAGATGATCGTCTGGAAATCTCGGACTTTTACGATTTTACCACGTCATACCCTGACGCAGTCCCATTCCGCCATGCCAATAGCGACTTTCGAGCAGCGGAATCCTCGACTCCCGATGATGAATGGGAAGACCTAGACGAGGAGGATGGTGAAGCCGAGATCAAGGTCTCGGACGAGGATGATGATGTAGACCAGGGTGCGGATACAATCCCTGAAAACCAGCTCACGTATGGAGATTCTCCGTACGAGCTCGTACTGCCTTCAGGCGCTCGCATCGGTCATCGGGAACTACGTCACTATTATGCTCAATCCTTCCCCAAGGTACCTCGAGAGGTCAAGGCCGGGGATCCTAACTCCGGTGCTGCGCTCGTGCGACGTCTTTTAAGTGACAGAAGCTCCGCTCTTGTGCCACGGCAGGGTGGGTTTGGTGCATTTGGTAAAGGGACTGAAGTCGTCAAGGCACGCAATCGAGGCGAAGCGAAAGAGGCAGGCCGACATGTACGCGAGTTCAGAGATCAGCGCCGCAGGAGCGACTTCAAAACGAAAGTCGGGTTTAGACATAATAATCAAAAACACTTCCGAGATCCGTTGCTCCAGGTATGCTTTTTACTAGATCACATGGATACATCCCTAATTTTTTTAAACCGACGACAGTAAGGCGACGTATCACAACACATCGACCCTTGACAGCGTCGTAGAATAACCAGTGCTTTTATAAGAGGTATAGCAGGAGGGTTTGACTGCAAGTTCGGGTATCAGAAGAACAACTCTACGTAGCGACAGCACAACATCCTGTTCCATAGTCCAATTATTAACTAGTACACATAGGCAGCTGGGACCACACCCTCCTTTCCTGTACGTATATCTCGTGCATACCACCAGCTGTTTACAATGAACATAAGCATGAGGAGTTCAGACGACGTAAAGAGATAACTTACGCTGCGTCCCCATCGTCTAAGACCTCAATCTCCTGACCGACTGATAATGGTAGCTCGCCCTCCCCAACACCATCAAACGAATACCGAGCGTAAGCCGGTCTGCTTGTCTCCTCACCATTCATAATGCCAATGACGGCATCTGACGGCGTTTCGGCGCGCACGTAGTTACTCCCATCCGGTCCAAACGGATCCTGATCGACTGGGCCTGCCACGTTGTCCCTATCCTTTTCCGTGGGTTGGTTGTGTTGTAATGGATCACCTAGAATGGTGGTTCGCGTCGCCGCATTAATGTGCGCTAGTAGTGACGAAGGCCGATGGGTAGAATCATCGTCATCTGGAACATCAACTGCGTCATATTTGACGAGCTTGTCGTCTCTTCTGGAGAAAAGTGTCCAGAGTATTCCAATCAGAGCCAAGAGGAACACAATGCCTGCAGCGATGGCAATAGAGATCAAGATGACTACACCAGTGGCGAGGAAGTCTGCTCAAATACAAATCAATGTATGGCATAAAGGCCAAAGGATTGTACTTACGTGTCTGTGTAAAGCTAAACGAAGCAAGAGAGTATACGAGTCCAGAAACAATACCCGGCAAGCCAGAGGTCGTCTCAGAGACGATGTACGGAATGAACGTTTCCCCATCGAATAACGCAGACGAGGCATTCCCAAATGAAGTATCGGCCAGATAGCCGGATACCATAAGCATACGATCCGATTGTATGATACTGTTAGCAGCATGCGTATTTTGCAGGGGGACCATGATAAGTTGCATTACGTCTGTCGAAGGCTCCAGAGTCGACCCTAAATTTTGATATTTATCATCCACATTACTGAGAGAAAGAGAAAGAGCTAACCGACAGCAGCCCAAACCTGGCCATCCCAGTAGTACAAGAATGCAGATGTCCCATCCGAGGTTCTGCATAACATAAATTGTCAGTGGCTACATGCGTAAGACACGGTGGACATACCGGCCAGCAACAAACACGCTACTGATATTCCCATCATTGACAGCGACAGCCGTCACAGGTCCGGGTAAGGAGTCATCGCCCATGGTAGCCCAAGTGGAATTGGACAAGATGAAAGTAGCGACATTCGCAGGTGTGTTATCAGCAAGAGCAATCGAACCTGCGGCAATTATGGTGCTCCAGTCGTCCTACGTAATCCAACTTAGTATTGCCAGAAATCAGAGCCATGCTAAATACGTACCCCAGCATAAGAAACAGATGTTACGTCGCCTTGAATCCCATTCCCTAAAGCACTCCATTGCTCCGTGCTAGCGTCATAAAAACAAATTGAACGACAGGCAATTGATCCAGCTTGAGCAAAAGAACCAGCAACGACGATTATATTTGACTGCGAAGGTGATGTTGTCACCGAACGAACGACGACACTAGTACCTGAACTAGGTTGTAGTGCCTCCACACCAGACATTGCCCATTGTTCCGTGGCAAGATCGTAAATTGCAAATCCATCGGCATTGGTACCCTCTAATGTGAATTCTCCTCCAATGTAGAGATAATCTCCCTGGACCAGAAGGTCACGAACGGTGCCATTGATCTGACTACCTTGTAAAGGTTTGATCGACGCTGTGGCATTATCATAGATTGCAACGTTCTGGTAAACCGATCCGGAGGTTGATGAAAAGGTGAAATTGCCGCCAAGAATAACCATCTCTTGAGATGATGAACTATTCGTCCAGAACGCGCCTGACAGAACCGCAGGAGCTAAGGGCGCAGGAGCCGCAGGTAGGGGAGCAAGTGCAGGTGAGGTTTCTCGTCGGAACAAGCGTAGAACATTAATCTTGGGCACCCATGACGCGGCCGACCTACGGAGATGAGAGTGCCGCCGCTGTACATTGCTCACCGAGGTTGTTGGTACCACACTATCCAGCTGTACGCCAAGCGGAGCGACTTGTGGCGAACCTCCAGCACCGTTTTGTACCAAAACGAAGCCAGTTGAACCATATTGGGCTGAGACGTTGACATTGCCTGCAATAAGCTGGGATTGGCTTTGACCATCGCCTACGGATGACACGTTGCCTACAAAAGTCATATTTCCGACCAAAAAACCCCCGCTATTAGCCCACGAGGATATCCCATTGTTCCAGGCGGCAAAACCCATCGCGCTTCGACCGATCGAAGCATCTGCCGCATATACTTCAGTAAAATTGCCCGTCAACAACAACAGGTTGTCAGAGTAGTCCAAACTGGTCACAACGCCGTTGACCCCCGCACCCAGGGATACCCATTTATTCTGCTGAACATCAAACATAGCGACACCCTTGAGAGCGGCATTTGACGGTGAAACCGTGTCGTCGAACGCTCCCCCGACATATACCATATCCTCTACGATGTAGAGGGAAGTTACGGCACCATTCAACCCATCGGAGGGCAACGAAGTCAAAACACCATCCTTGAATGTGACAATGTTCGCAACGCCCGACGCAGATCCTGAAGACAGGTTGAAATTTCCACCTATGAAGACTGTGCCCGAGGAATGTTGTCCCACTGCTGAAATGTGCGAATTCCCGGAAGTCAGGCTGACGTCGCCACCCATGGCCATGAATAAAGCGAAAGCGATGCCGTCTATGCTAGTTTCTGTAGCATTGGAGAGGATACTGGTAGCGTTCACGGTTGACTTCGACGTAAGCGGCCATTCAAAGAGTCCAAAACCATTTGTGGAATTGACATCAGTGGCATTGCCTCCCCCAATGATACCACCAGTAATGTTCGCATTTGTTAACACGAGCTGCACGTCGCCAGCCACCAGTTCGTATTCGCCATTTTGTCCCGCACCGTTGGGCTTGGCAGATAAAGTCATGGAGATTGTGGTAACGAAGTCAGGCGAGGAGGGTACGATGGGCCCTCTATAAACCAACGTCGACTCATCCTCCGAATTCTGCTGCGATATGGTAGAGACCGAAGGCTGTAATCCCCCCCCAGGGAAAACGGTGACCTGAACGCTCGTGCGCAGAGCACAATCTTGAAACTCGGTGCACCCGGGAATTACCATATAAACTTCGTAATCTCCAGATGCTGAAACATAGGGCATCCACGTCATGCTGGGACTATCTGGTGGAGTTGTACCGACACTAACCGTTGAAACTAGTACTGCTTCAACGGTAGCGGGTATGTCTGTGGCTGCTTCCTTCTGAGTCCATTTACCGGTGAACGAGACATTCGACGCAATTGGCGCATAGCAAGATTCAGTGTTATTGGAAGCGATGGCAGATGCAAAGGCCCCTGACGACAGTAATTGTAGAATATGTAGGCCGGGCCCAGCGCCTTGCCACTGAGATAGGGTGAGCTGGAAGCCAGTTATGTCGAGTACCTCATCGAAAAGGAAGTCCTGGTAGGGGATAGAAGAAGTGTCTAAAAGCGGACATGGATTGGTACAAGTCAGGTTTGCGCCTGTCGTAGGATCGATATATGATAGCGTGCGAACGGTGTTGTCCGGTATAGTGGTGACGCTGAAGACAAGAGAAGTGAGTATATCGTTCGCACATATACAAATGCAACACCCCACCTGAAGCCTGTAGTTCCCCTTCCATCTAAGAAGGTATTTCCGAGTCGAATGCCCCGTGCGCTGAGCAACGAGAATGCGCGAACCGTGATTACCGCAGCGTCTCCATCCTCAGCAAACCACGTATGACCGGGCCCGTCGGATCCCGATGGACACAGGATGGCATCAATATTATCATAATTTGGATCGGTAGAGGATGGTTCGGCGATAATTTGTGCATTCTGCAATGGAATAGGAACCAGTGATGACGAGAACGGGGAGGCACCTGGAGAATACGGGACGTTGGGATTGTTGGTCGCATTCAAAGATGCACTACCATTTCCGAACGTTGTGATGAACGACCCCGAAAAAAAAAGGCCCGAACTAGAGTAATTGGGGCTGATGGACAGCACTTCAGCGGCAGCCCCAGACAAACCTCCAAAGGGTGGGGGGGACCATTGCGAGGATTGTGGAGACCAGATGGCAACTGATGGACCCGGAGAGCTGAATTTACCACCAACCCAAACGCGGTTGTTAGCAACATCACAAAACAATGCATTCACTGATGCGTCAGGACCGCCCGACCCAAGGCCAGAGAATGAACCCGTTGCAGAAGCGTAGGACGCGACGTTGTTGGCAGACACACCACCAATAGTAGTGAATGTACCGCCGATGTAGTACACGTCGCCTAACACACAACCTGCCGCAATGCGACCGCCAACGTCGGTGGAGCCCAGTGCGGTGAGCGACCCGTCGGCAGAACGAGAAAGGACCGTCGCTGTCGAAGAGTCGAACACAGTCGAAATCGTGTTGTTGTCGGATAGTCCCAGCCCAGCGAACGAGCCAGTTATACCGACAGTGCCCATGCGATCAAAATCGACGAGTGGGAGACCTGCCAAGGCGCCATTATGAGAGGGAAAGAGAAATGCGGACGCGACAAGGACACAGAGTAATCGGCAGACACCCATGGGCGAGCGGCATACGAGACTGGATGAGGGTATACTGCGCTGAAGGACTGGAATGGAGAGAACGAGGGACTGGAAATTTGGGTATGGCAACCGGCGACGCGCGGTTGAAGCGTTGACGAAGCGTGAACTCTGCGAGGTCAAGGTCGTGTTCGACTGCCAACCTGCTTACGTCAGCGTCCTACCTCGCGCTTCACGTGAGCGGACGCGTCGCGTGGGACACTGGCTGCACAGCAAAGTAGTGGGCGCCGCCCTCGGGCTTGTCCAAATTCCATCTGTATCTGCCTCTGGTCCTGTGGTTTGTCCCTATTCGGCTGGACACTCACATGCCGATAGGTTTCTGGACGCGGAAGAACCAAGCTTGCTAATAGACGAAGAATCTTACACACGATGCCTGTCATATGGCTTGGATTCTTTCAACGTGACTTCGCAAGCTCGCAAACTGAGACTATTTAAAGGGCCACCTAGTACCCCCAATTTTACCCTCGACGCAGACTTTCTTTCCATCACAGGTCATCCTTCATGGCGTCGAAAAATCAAATGACAGACCCGCTGCGCGTCGGTGTCGCCATCCGCGCCCAGTTGCAGCACGAGATTCCCAAGGATCTGCCTCTCGAACGGGATTTCCGCGAAGGGACAGATTATACCATCACTGATCAGTCTGTCATTTCCTAACGCATTATTGATTAGCGTTGACTGATAAGCTGGATCCTAGTGTCGTTGAGCTCCATCGGACCTTAGTGAAAGACCCACGCACTCTCGAGCTTATGACCGGACTTGTCACGCACTTGCACACTTTCGCAAGAGAAACGGCGCTCACACATGCAGAGTGGACGAAGATCATAACGTTCCTCACCCGTGTAGGAAAAGAAAGCACAGACTACCAGAATGAGTTCATCATACTCAGTGATACCCTTGGGTTGAGCGCACTTGTCGACGAATTAACTCATCCCAAACCTGCGGTCAGTATGGTCTACTAAGCTCTTCAATATGTTCACACAACGCTTGCTGCAGGGATGTACTGACAGTTGCGAAGCTGGCCCATTCTATGTCCCTAATGCCCCAGAAGTTCCTTCCGGCTCATCGTTAGCCAAAGCTGGCACCCACGGTGAAGCCATGTTCTTCTCCGGGACCGTCAAGAATACCAAAGGTCAGGGGATCAAAGGTGCCAAAATTGACGTGGTCAGTTTTTCAGTTCGCTTTCAATTTACTACCATAGAGATACCATGTATACAGTGGCAAGCGGACGGTGATGGTATATACGACGTCCAATACCCGGGTACTACAGAGGCCAATGACAGAGGGAAAATCGTAGCGGAGGATGATGGCAGCTTTTGCTATCGTGGTATCCTGCCCACGGCTTACCCCATTGTGAGCAGTCTTGAGAGTCCGGGCCATATATGTATGCTGACAGCCTGTGATAAGCCAAGCAATGGGCCATCTGGCGACCTTCTTCGAGCGCTTGGTATGTTTTCGGAGATAACTTACTCATCACGCCGCTGAATTCCAGGCATCGTGGAATCACTCTAGGCCGGCATCCGCATCGTGCCTCGCACATACATTTTGTACTTGTTGCGCCAGGATACGACGAGTATGTCTTCAGTCTGATATCTTCTCTTATCAGATTGTTGATGGTGCACTGGGCTAGTCTGACCACCGCCCTCTACCCATCTCACTCACCTTTCCTCGGCACTGATCCTGTATTTGCGACGAAGAAATCCCTGGTCTGCAACGTAGTGGAAGAATGCAACCCCGAACAATGGGCGAAAATGGGCTTTCAAGACGGCGAGGTCACAAATGGCAGAGTTTGGGTCTGGACATATGGTTTCGTTTTACCTACCGTGGAGGAGGTGAAACAATTCACTCGCAAGCGCGGCTCAGCTAAGCTGTAGCCAAGCATAGATACTATTGCTGAAATAGACATCTCCGGCTGCATTTGTTCATTGAATGAAATGTGACATCTACAGTGAGGCTTTGGGACAATGTCAATACAGGCGGACGATGGGCATGCTATGCTCCGTCATTCTTTACAACGACGTCGCTGACATCAACAGTGGAGCCAACTGGATGCAAATGAGGAGATGACTGCTCAAGCCGCCTACAAAAAAGACTGCATTGACCGGGGCAGCCTTTGTAAGAAAAACAACATCACGCACTGTGGGTACCGGTATCGATGAATCGGAGGTCGCTTGGCATCTGCTACGAGTAATGTGTCGTCCGACCCCTCCACAGTGAGGAGCAGGTGCTTGAATCTAATGTTCTCCCATACGTCGCGCGGAGTAGAGTAGTGAGCGATGAAGCGGGTCAGATACGTGTCGTCGCCGGGCGCGGGAGCGAGCTTGTAAAATCCTGCGGCAGCAAGGCCTAGCAGGACAAAGTTTCGCCACACAGGTGAAGAGAAGTCTAGAAATACACGTTCAAATGGCTCGACTCTCACAACCAAGGTGCATGAAGTACGTACCTTCCTTAGAGTATGAGACACTGTCCTCAACATGCTGTTCGCCATGATGCTCGTCGTGGTGAGAATTTGAGGACGCAAGACGACTTTGTGGTGTGATAAAGCTTTGAGGTCTTGGCCGGAGAAAAATACCAGCTGTCCTGGTCATATGCCGCGACATGTTGTCTCGACGAAAGTAAGTGTTGATTCAGGTCGGAAGGCGCGTCTACTCCCGCCCGGCCGTCCCCGCTCAACGTCTACCACGTGGGAGACAAACACTTCAAGTTTCCGGATCCTTGATCATTTGAACTTGAAGGGCTCAGTGTATGTAAATACTATTGCGGCGATGACGACTCGGCTCCTTGACTCACTCAGATTGAACTGACCTGAGGTGCATCTTCTGCAATATCTAAGCAGTGGGGTAATTACGTTGCCCGCTGGGCGGCTTAAAATATATTCTAATGTCCTGGAAAAGCAATTGGCAGGCCCGGCCAAGTTAGCCACCTCCGCCATACAACCCTCATGAAGTGCGCCCGTCGCTATTCGCGGATAACCTCGACCTCTGTCCCGGACTCCCATGGCCTCCTTTGACGCTCAATGTCTTTCGTGGTAGCCACACCTCTCGCCCCTTCTCGCGGACACACCTGGACACCTGATCCTGCCGAATGCTAGACCAACCATGTGTTTGCTGCAGCTAGCTATGCCTCGTCGCACACCCCATCGCGAGTGACGGGCTTCAGAAACTTCTTCGTCGGCGTCATACCTAGTTCTCTGCGGCGCGCGGATATGTCGTTTAGCTCCCTGATACCCTGGAAGCCGTGGACGGTGACTTTGCCAAAGTGAACGTCCAGCGGGTGCAGTACGATATTGAGGAGGCGCGCAACGTGAATTATCAGACAGATGAGGGGGGGATACAAGGAGTTGTACATGAATCATCATTCCTGATAAGATGCAACGCATATACCGCTACTAGGGTCTGGTACACATATCCTCTGCATACTACTAGCTAGGCAAAGTTCAAGTTCACAGCCATATGTTACACACGTTGCATGAGTTACACGCTCTCGGCGGATCATGTGGCCAACGACACGTCCAGACATGGTCTCGTATTTCGATCTGATGAATCACGAGTTCAGGAGAGCTGATACTTAACACACCGCAAGACTCCTAAGCTGGAGAAACTCCTTACCAGCCCCAACTCCATCAGTCTAAGCAAATGCCAATGTGTAGGTCACGAATATTTGGGATTGAGCACACCGAACTGATCCAGTTCGCTATACGAACGATCAGCGTCAGCAGAATCAAACCCCACGCGCCCCACACCCGCACGCAAGCCGTCCGTGGACCCCGAAACTGTGGAAAAGCTCGAGCGACGTCTCAGTCTGCGGCCAGACAAGCAAGACCTGGTCGAGCGTAACATCCTGAAAGGTCTGTGATAGGATGCGCACCAAACACTGCTTACACGCACACTGCTAGAGAGCAACGTTGCCCCATCTCTCCAAGCTGCCAAAGACAGATTGGAACGTTCACAGCTCGAGGTAAGGACCCGCTGTATTTGTCCCTGAAGCAGTTTTATCGCTCATCTCGACTTGATAGGACAAGCTGGAACATGCACTACAACAGAGACCCAAGGCCGAAGAACTCGTGAAAGATGGGATCCTCCAAAGTACGCAGACATTATTCGGTATGATCATCGCGACCAATAATTCAGCACAGGTGACGAAGTCCCGCCCGCCTGAATCCCATTACGCAGCTCAGGGACTGCCTACTGTCTTATCGTATGCTGTATAAATATCAATGAGGTGTGCGCTGTGTAACATAAATTTCTCGTGGATCGACAGGCACTGGATTCACTCACCGGCAATATTATGATTGAGGATGAGACGTAATCATGAGGAGCTACACCTGATCTCTACTACTTCTGATTTTGTCCCGGACCTCCTTCGCGGCGCGTTTCGCACCAGCACCACCGGTCCAACCTCTGGCTGTGAGCCAGCGGACGAGTCTGGGGGTCAACGTGGCTGTAAGGCCTACCCGAATGGGGAAGAAGAGTGTTTTGTGTACGGTGTAGGCGAGGACAAGCATGGTATAGAGGTCTCCTTGTCCGGAAGCACCTGGGTGGGCGGTAATATCGTCTATTTCTTCTCGCCCGGGCTCGGGGGGGCGCGAGTGGATGAATCCGGCGGCGTAGTCCTTGACTGCGGCGGTGACACGAGAGACATGCTCAGCGCCGATGAGATTGATGCCAGCAAAAGCGACCGTAAAGTCGAGGGCGGTCAAAAAGATATAGACCCCGAGGGCGTACCACCCGTAGGCCTTTATGAGATGTTTGAGACGCTGCGAGAGGGTGGCATTTGGGGGGAGACCGGGGGAGTGCTGGTCTGACGGGGAGGGGGTAGAGGACGCAAGACGTGGGGAGGGGAGATGGAAGAATCGAGTGCCTGGGTGGGCGAGGGGCCTGGTCAGCGACGCGGTTGGATGGGGGGAGGTGAGCCGGACCGCGAGAGGGAGGACGGGCTGGGTGACACGTGGGAGGAGGGAGCGGATGAGGGGGACGCGGAGGATGAGGCTACGGACCATAGGGGAAACAGGACAGCTGCAGGTCGGAGGCAGCAGCAGCAGGGGCGGGCGAGAGAGCGACCGCTGAGGCAAATATTCAGAGCAGCGGTAGTGACCGCGTCATGGACACGGCTCGTTCTGGTCGGCAACGTCCGATCGGC